CCAAAATCAAATCAGGTAATTCTCAAGTCCGAGTGAATGTTTTTACCAAATTTGAAGAAATTCCCTCAAGGAGTTTTAGAGATATCGCATTCACAAGGCAAATATTTTGATTTTTGAGGCCACCGTGACCTTGAATTTTGACTTTTGGCAACCAAAATCAAATCAGGTAATTCTTAGATCTAAGTAAATGATAAAAACAAATTTGAAGAAATTCCCTCAAGGTGTTTTGGAGATATCACATTCACAAGGCAAATATTTTTGATTTTTGAGGCCACCGTGACCTTAAATTTGGACTTTTGGCAACCAAAATCAAATCAGGTAATTCTTAGGTCCAGGTGAATGTTTGTACCAAATTTGAAGAAATTCCCTCAAGGCGTTTTTGAGATATTTTCTTCATGAGAATGGGACGAATGCTCTTAAACGTTTCAGGCTTAAATTTTAAAATGTGCTCTAAACCTTAGTCAGAGTGAAACAGTCGACTACATAAAGATGAGAGACGGAGCAGAAACCGTTTCTCTGCAGTGAAACGGCCTCATGCTCAGCTATACACGTTGGTAAGTGACGATTAGAGTATTTTTCATCTGTCTCTCCGGAGCTTTGAATGACAGCATGAGCTTGAACAAAAGAAAGAAAAGAAGAAAGGAAAGTTTCACAGCGAGTCTCTGCTTAATACAACCTGTCAGTAAACTTCCTGTTGAATGAATATGAGCTAAATGATGCATTTAGTGTGAGAGACACTTTTGGTTTTTTGGGGTGAAATGTACCTTTGAATAGCATTCAGGCCACTAATCAAGTCCTTTGTGTCCGAGTCATAAATTAATGAGCCGGGTTCGGTCTGTCTCCTCCTGCGATAAAGCACAGTGGACTCAGGAGTCGGTGACGTAATCAGCCCATTTATTGAATCAATAACTGCGGCTCAGACGTGCCCTCTCTTCCAGAAGCTGTTTAAAATATTGCTCTCCGGTACAGTCCGCTAATTTCAGGTGATAAGGAGCCCTCGGTCTCATATCGCCACCGGTGCTCTGCACCCTCTGTTGAGTTCCCTAATGCCAAATTATGCAGTCATCAAATTAAATGTGAGACTTTTAAAACCTGGTAATTCAGCAGCTTAATGGTGCGACTTCTTTCAGACTTCGACTAAAACAATTCACAGTAAAGTGTCTCACAGTTTCTAAAGTTCCCTCCACTTTTACTGTCATGAACTTTGTGTCGTGTTGAGGGAAATGAAAAGTGAATTACTCTTTATTCAACAGCATCTGTGCGGAAGAATTTTAGGGTCAGAAATGAGGAGGGGGGGGGGATTATTTTCAAAACAAAGTCAAAATGAGTTGACTGAAAAGTCGAGAATAAAGATTAAATGTTAAGTGTAAAAGAAGTGAAGTAAAACTAAGTCAGAGGAAGATTTATCTTGTATTTCATGATTAAAGCTGAAATGTCGAGTTAAGTTGAAATTTTGACACTAAAAGAGAAAGAGGAATTTTTTTGTATTTTGTGAAAAAAGTTTAAATGTCTCAGAAAGTTTGAAAGTTTAAATGTCTCAAAAAGTTTAAATGTCTTGAGAATACAGCAAAACTAAATCAGAGGAATGTTTCTTTGGGTTTAGGAATAAAGTAAATCTTAATCAGAAGTCGCAATGTTGAGAATAAACTAAAGAAGAGGAAGATTTTTGTATTTCATTGATGATAAAAACAAATAAATGATTGAGTTTTAAAATAATCTTTAATATATTAAATTGAGTTGTTGAATTTTCTTGTGTCAGATGAGAAGTTGAATGTTTGTGAGAGATCAGGTCACAAACATGTGAGATTCAGATGAGGAATCTTCATCTGTCAAGTTCTAGAGAAGAGACATCGGAGCCGATTTAACCAAACGCCACGTTTCATTGGATGAAATAGTTTTTCTTTTATTTGGATTAATTTGCCAAGCAGCTTGACAAGGATAAAAAGGCAAGTTTCAACAATACAAGACGTCATGTGTCGATGAAAAGTTTCAGGCAAATTCAAGATGAAGACGCTCCAGCGGCTGCGATACTGAATGAAACAGCTGCAGTTCCACACAGAGACACCAGTCGCTTAAAGGGCCGATAGAGTTCAAAGACTTTTCCTCCAGTTCATTTTTTTTATCTCTTAGCAAAGTAGAAATATAGCAAGTTTTCTCATTCTGGGTCACGAAGGTTTTTTGCAGCTCTGAGATCAGTTGGGTTCAAGGGGATGCTCTGATTGGACGACTGAGACGTCGAGATAGAGACGTCTGAACGAGTGGACTCGACAATTAACCAATGAGACGCCGCGTCTTCGTTTTTAAACTGGATTGGAGCAAACCCGCTAGTTCCACAGCTAATCAACAGAGATCTGAACGCTTGGATGATCTTGGCAATAAGGATCGAGCACAGTGTCAGAGTTTGGTCATGGGTATGTGAAGGTTGTTCCACGGGCCCATCCACAGTTCCTCCTCATCCGACTGCGTTCTGTCGCTCGGGCACTCCAGCGGCTCCCTCATAACGAGTCCGTCGTCGTCGTCTTCGCTACCGCCGTCTACTCTCGACTCTCTCTCGCCTTCTCTCAACTCGTCTCCCTCCGCTGTGCTCTGATGCTGCTGCTGCTGAGCGTCGCCCTGCGCCGCTTTGAGCAGGTTGGACTTAGACGCTACGCTTTCAGGGCCCGTGTTGCTGGTGCTGGTCGACCCCAGAGAAACGCTGGATTGTCGAGTGATGAACACGTTCAGCGTTTTATTGTTGTCAGTGTTAGACAAAGAGGAAGTGGCCGTTGCCGACGCGGCCACCCCCGAGCTTTGGAAGGTGCGCAGCGTGTTGCACCCGCTGTCTGCTGCTGTTCTGGGGTTGTTCAGAGGTACTCTCTCCTCCAACGTGGCGGCCATTTTGTCTAGTTTTTTAAAGTGCTTGGCTAGCCGTGAGCTGAAGATTGGGGAGGCGACTTTGAGGTTGTTGTTCGTGGTGGCGTGCGGGTGCATGGGAACTGTGGCGTTTCCTGAACGCCGGGTGCGGATGATGGAGCCGTTCTGGGCCATGTAGATGCTGCCGTTAACGTTAGCGTGGCTGTTGACGGTCGAGGATAAGCGGCTGCGTTGGGTTTCAGGCAGACTGTCCTCGCCAGTGGAGCTGGTCTCGTACTCTCGATCCGTCACCAACTTGATCCGATGTTTTCTACAGCCATGCTGGGAATACACACAAATAATATACATGAAACTGTGGAGTCTGTAAGTTTTACGAGAACTTTTACCGCTATCGAAGCATTATCAGTGTTAAAATGTGTCTTGTTAAAAGTGAAGCAAAGGTTTTTTGATTGCCCCCTGGTGGCTGGCTGCAGATAACAACGGTATCTGTCATTTTAGGTGGTTCTTATTACACTGATGTGTGTTTACATGCACATTTTTCTGGTAAGTTTGGTTTTAATTAATTATTTGATGTATCCTTCACTCACACTGCAAAAACAAACACACGGCAAACAAAGTTACGTGTCACAGTGTTTAGTCCAGATGTTTTCTTTGGAGAACTCAGAATATGTTTGGATCATGTGGTGCTGAATTTGAGCATCACGGAAAATAAGGGAATGCTTTAAGGAATATAATTTATATTAATTAGCTCGTGGGCTGTGATTCTTTATAAAATGGGTCAGAGGAAACACTGCGGTGTTTGGAAGAAGATAACGACTGTAGTGACAGTGACTGACCTGCTGTCACACAGTGAAACCTCAGATTTTCCATTTTACTTCAGTAGTATAGATATAAAGAATAATGCATCACGAAGAAAACAAGTTTCCCTCCTGCAGACAACAACAGGTATTGGAAGAACTGAGAGGGAGGATAACAGACGGATGAAAAAGGCTTGATCAAACCTTAAAGGTGCAACAAAGAGAGGTCAGTGAATAACAAGATAATCTCTGAGCAACAAGCAGCTGGAAGTGGAGTTTGCACAAAAGGAAAATGAGCCGAGTCGGCTCAGGAGACAGAAACCAGTCCGGTACTTCAACGTAACCAGAGCTGTGATAAAAGAAGACGAGGACTGACGGAGCCGAGCGAGGCTGATTGAAAACACAGAGAGAGACAGAGTGGTGCGAGGGCAGCGGAGGACATGCTGACGAATTCAACCCCAGCGGGCGTAAATCACAGCAAACAAGAAAAAGAGAGAAATATTACAGTGATAAATCTCACTCAGGTGAAGATTTCACTCCCAATTCCAGACGTTCTCACCAAGATCTTACTTATAGGTTCACAGAATGAGATCTGGGGGGAGGGCCGGGGGGGCAGACGAGGGCCTCATCCGCAATTCAATCAGCCGACTCATTTTCCAAACAGCCCTCTGCTTCATCCTGCTTTCCTTCCCCGGCATGACCGCTGCTCTCCTCCTCCTCTTCCTCCGCGTCCTCGATGATGGGTGACAAGTCGTCTGAGTTGTTGCTCACGCCCGATCTGATGTCTGACTGGTTGTGGCTGGAGGTTCGCCGGCTCGACGAGGACTTTTCCGATCGACTTTCTTCCCCTGACTCCTCGTCTTCCTCACTCTCCTCCTCTTCCTCTATTGTTTCATGTGAGGAAAGTGACCGTCTAGAGCTTTTGGGCCTAGAACTAGAAATTGTAGAACGTGAATATCTTGAACCTCTCTCCCCCTCTTTGCTCCTTTCTCTCCATCTGCTCATGCTTTTAGTCTTTAAATTGGCACTTTGACTTCTGCTCCCGTCTCTACTCGCAGAACGTTTACTGACACCACCCTTTGATCGCTTTCTTCGAGATTTTTCCTGCTCATCGTCATTCTCCAACCCCGACTCCTTTTCTGACTCTGACCTCCCCCCCTCCTCCTCTTGGCTTCCACTCATCTCTCTGTCTTCATCTGGAGTTCTCTCCTCCCTTTCTGCTCCCGAGTCGGACTCATTTTTTTCTGTCTCGGTGTCAGATTGGCTTCTCTCGTGCTCGGCTGTCACAGATGACGCGGGGCTACTTGCGTCGGAGAGACTAAACTCTGATGGCGACTCTTTGCTGCCACTTCCCGTCTCCGAATCGCTGTCGTGAAATCTTTTTCCTCTCCTCCACCGTCCCTCAGAGGAACTATCCTGCTCTCCTGACTCCCACCTCCTCCTCGCCTCTCGTGTGGCTCTCTCACACATTGATGCAGAAACACTCATATCTCCTATGGAGCCGTTCATCCTCCTGCGGTTCTCGTCTCCTCTGTCCCAGCTCAGTCCATCACTCCACTGTTCGCCTCCCACCCTGGCGGGTCCCTGGAGCCTTCTGGCGAGGGAGATAAGACTGAGGGCCTCGCTCAGCTTTTGTTTCACTGGTCGGGGTTTGCTGGCTTCGGGGGACGTCTGGAAAAAACTCTCGTCGAAGACCATGCTGCCGTCCATGCTGAAAGAGCGGCCAAAGGATGACAAGCCGGGGAGCTCTCCTCTGTGCTCTGGCCTGACGCCTTCTCTTCCTCCTCCAACATTTCTCAACCCATTGTTTATTACGCCATTTCTGTGGCCTCTCCCCCATGTTTCCATTTCTCCCCGGCCTCCTCTTTCTCTCCCTCTTTCTGTGAAATCATCTCTTTCCCTTTTCCCTGACTCCCCTCTCTCAAACCCCTTCCCTAATCCTTCTTCCCTCCTCTCTTCCAGCCTCTCTCTACCTCCTTCCCCTGCTTCCATCGGTCCAATCCTGGCCTTGTTCCACGGTGGGTGGACAGCAGGAGGCTGTCCAGATTTCTTACTCACGGTGGACAGCAGTGTGCTCACTCTCGTGGCAGCTTTCAACCTGGCGGCCACACCCGGGCCTTTTGACTTTGTGTTGAAGGTGGTGGCAGCGGCCTCCGGTGGTTGTTGTCTGTCGCCCTCACTCCTGGGGGCTCCTGAGGTCTTTCTGGGTGGGGGGATATGGGGAGGATGGGGCTGGAGGTATCCAGGGTGAGGGGCTAATCTACCTCCTTGAAACTGTCTCCTCACCTGATGGTGTGAGTCCAGAACCAAATTAGAACATTTAGGACAAAGGGACAAATGAAAATTGTCAACTGCACAAACCATCATTTTTAAAGTTAATAAGTTAAATTTAAATTTTAGAATTTCACAGACTGCTAGTGCTATTTAATAATCAATGATAAATAGATTATACTACACAAACACTTTCACTACATCTGGGTGAACAGGAACTCTTTGGTTTAACAGTTTTCCCTCTTGATAGAATATTGTGCAAATCGAGTAGATATCCTCGTCTCCTCTCACATTGTGGATGCTGCCAGTGGCCCCATGTGTTAGTGACGGTTTGTGTCCTGGTGTTACCCGAGATTTTCTGTGTTTACCTCTGCGTCAGACTCCTGCGGGCTGTAGTAGTAGCTGCCATCATCGTCCACGACAACTTCTCCATATTCATCGTAGAGGCCGGAGGGGGAGATCAGCTTCCTGCGACTGCCGTACTGAGGCAGGTCGTACCTGGACGGAGGGAGGGTGAAAACACAGAGCTTCAAAGATAAGAAATAACCCATAAGGGGCTGTGCAGAGCAGATATCACAAGTTCTCAAGTTTACTGCTATTTATTAAAGGTTATTTTAAAGGTTACAGTTTGTGCGCATGATAACCTCAGTCAATCAAAAGTGACGACAAGACAAAACTTTGGTTTACAAACTAAATTTGCACTTGGCTGCTGTTTTTCCACCAGCCACTTAAAGCAAGAACACGCAGGGCAACACTGGGGTTCACGCTGATGATAAGCAGCGGCTAATGACTCCTTAGCAAAGCTGCCTTAATCACAAAGGAGGCACTCTGTTGCCAGGAGACATTTTGTTAGCCGAAAACACTGGAATCGATTTTCCTCCCCTTTGTCTCTCTTTGTTGCCTGTTTCCGGGAGCTCTGCCTGACTCGACCGGCCAAGAAAACTGTAATGTGCATCACTACTCGGGCTCGGCGCCCTGCAGCGAGTAGCTCGGGGAGCCAGTGGGTCAAAAAACATACATTTTAAATGCTATCCTGGAAACAATATGTCCCAGAGTGATTAAAGTAACAAATCTGCTGGAAGTCTTTTGGCTTCCCTCCATTCCAGAGTTGTGGAGAGAAGTTGTGTAATCGCTCTGCTTACAGTCGACCGGGGATAGAAGTTGCCCTCCCATTACATTAAGAAGCCGAGTAATAAACAAATGGACGCGGCACGTGGGTGACAGATGTGCTCGGGTGAGAAAAGGGGAGAAAGAGGGAGGAAAAAAGAGGGAAAGAAAGAACACAAAGTGAACTGATGAAGGGTCAGAAAAGAAAGACCAGTCATAAAATGTGACATCGTATTAATCCTTATAGCATGACCTCCACAAGCTAATGTAATGAGTCTTAACCTCTCACTAAAACCTGCTGATGGGATTTCACAGGCATTAACCCCCCGACTAACACTGACACACACACACACACACAAAGAGTTAAATTGTTCAAAGGCTATATTAACACTTTGCTTTTCGTTTTCTTTCCTCCCTTTCTTTCTCACTCATCCTCCTCTGCTCTCCATGTCACCACTAGGGGGGGGTAATGACATGATAATCAGTTGCCAGGAATCACAGCCAACAAACACGCTGATGTTTTTGTGGGTCTGTGTGTGCGGAGACACAAAATGGTTCAAACTGGGACACTTGGTCTGTTTCTGGCGAGTCCAGGAGCGGGATCCTATTCTCACATGACCAAGAGTACTACTACTAAGAATATAAAACGCAAAATAAAACTGTGAAAGGAAATATGATTTATTAAATTCTGACATGGTCATTGATCCACAGTTCAGATGAATGATGAGAATTGCTCGACTTATTTTGACCAAACGACTTCGCGGGGCTGATGATGGACGGTAGAGAAAACATGAGGAATGAGTTTGTTTTTTCAGGATTAATGATCCAATATTTTTACTTTCCATCTATATAACATGTAAAAAGTTGTTTAAGTCTCAACCTGTGGGAACAGTTGTGGAACTTTAAGGACGTTATCTAAACTCGACCTGAGCTTCAACACCATCATTTTTGTCATTAAATGATATATGACATACTGGTAGTGTGGAGAATGAAATGTGGGGGCGCTGTAGAACAAGAGTCATCATCAGACAGCTCCTCTTTTCAGCCTCTGTCTGAAAATCTTTTGCGTTAGCTCACGTCTCTTTAATAACGATAATAACGTTGTTAGGGGACGTGCCGGACTCGCCCCCAGGCGTGTGTGCAGCACGTATCGTCCGCTCTACTGACGAGATGTTTCAAGAGTTTCAGGAGTAGTTTTCTGTGATGAGAGGAGCTTCCTCTATCATGGGCTTTCTAACTTTGCAGATCTTTTATATTTTAACAACAAAACAACAACTTCAAAACACTAGAGGAAAGAAAAACTGAAATATACATCACATGTCTCCTTTAATAATCGAGCTTAGTTGCAGGAAAGCAGTTTTGTTGCCAGACTAGCTGCTTCCCCCTGTAGCTAGTTGGCTGCTTGCTGTAGCTTCATAATACTTCTCTGTCGGCTATTCCTTGAATATTTTCATCCATTTGTAGTAACAACTTCATGCACCTTGCTGACAATCAAGTTTGAAATAAAGCCTTATCTTTGTGTTCCTTCATCCTGTTAGTAAAACGTAGCTGATCCTGCCAGATTTCTCGTCTCCTCATCTTTTTATTATTTACAGGGGAGCCCTAACTCGATCTATCAGCCACGCAGCAGTCACACAGCTCATCACCCACGCCAATAACCATTTTGGAAAAGTGAGATTTAATCCCTTTTTAGTCTGTGGTGAGTACGAGTTGAGTATTTTACTCTTGACTGGGGGGCGATATGAAATTGGCTCGTTGTGATGTTTTGTTTTTTTTCACAAATCAAAATTTCAGACCTGAGCAACAAGTGGCTCAAGTTAGTTTTCGATGGCTGCAAAAAATCCGATCAGAATCATTTTGATGTCAGATGAAAGAAAAGGTCCGAAGGTTTTTAACCTTCGCTTCTTTCACAACGTTGTCTCAGTGCTGAGAGGTGAGTTAGTGTCTGTGAGCACAGTCGACCTGCAGCTTTCAACTTATGACTGACTCAAATAAAATGATCAGATCTGAGTCACACAAGGTCACAGAACCGGACCGACACAGTCTGAGTGCACAGAGTCAGACATGAGTTTGTGAGTGTTGCTCTGAACCAACAGCATCTGGCCAATTGTCTGCTTCCATGGCTGACTGCCTGATTAGCTGCTATAGTATTATCACTGTGTGTGTGTGTGTGTGTGTGTGTGTGTGTGTGTGTGAACTATTACCATGTATTTCTATGCGAGTGTGGGTGGGTGCATAAAATCAAGTTCCCAGAAGTCTGGAGCTAAAATTATAAGAAATTACACAATGTATAACAAAAATACACACACAGAGACACACACAGACAAACAGTAATGCTGACAGGTGTTATCTGCAGCAGTGACAGGAGGTCGGGGTATCAAGGTTCTGCATCACGATGTGCATGTTCACATTGTGGATTCGGTCTCTGTTTCATTTCTCTGCTACAACACGTTCACAAGCGTCACAAGGCCGGTCACTGGTGTCAGTGTTTCCGGGCAGCCGACACACTGTGTGAGTGATGCCTTCAGCTCGATATCCAAGCAGCTGCCACGGGGCTGACGTGAGGCTCAGCTGCACAAAGAGTACACACTAAACTCCAGGGTGATGTCGGAGGAAATATAATACGATGTTAGATGAAACCCTGTCAGTCACTGCTGGAGGTCAAAGGTGACAGACGAAACATAAAGGGGAAGTCCTCGAACATTATGAGTCATTATTATCATCCTCTATAAGAGCCAACATGGCCGCAGTCAGAAATATGCCAGTATCATGAAAAGGCAAATATGACAAGTACAGTATATACAAAATCTGCTCTGCAATAAAATATATTATTCATTACAAACCTTTTATGTGCAAAACAAAAGCAACTCTTTTTTTTAAATGTGTATCTTCTGATCAATACGCAATAGATCCAAACTGATTTAGATAAACTTCTGTAAAGATAAATAGCAAACATGCTTATGTACGCTTAAGGTACAGGTATATATGTTGTGCAGACAGAGACAGAGAGACATGTATATATATAGGAACAGATGGAGACAGACAGACATGTATAGAGACAGACAGACATACTAACCCATGATCATAGTTGTAATAATCCTGTGTGTAGTAGTCCTGGCCGGGGTCGATGCCAGATTCCATTGATAACTCCTGTGAGATTGATGAAACCATCATCAGTGTTTAGAAATGAGACACTTTATTCACAAACATATTTAAAACCACATCCTGTTATTCAACTCTGAACCAACATGTGAACAGATCTGAAGTAAACCTCCACACGCAGATGTTCCTCCATCATGGAGCAGAAACACACACAGAGTAAAGACGTCTGGGTTTATCTCTCGTGTCTGGTGTTTTCCCTTAATGTCTCCTGCTCTCTCCTGTCCGTCTGAGTGTGTGTGTGTGTGTGTGAGTGTGTGTTGTGGGCGTGATGCTCCTCTCTCTCCTGGCTCCCTGATTGCTGCACACTTGCCACCCCCCCCTCTCATCAGCCCAGCACTACATCGACTCCGCTTCTTCCTCCACTCCAACGTCAAGGCCGCTCAGCAAAACGTATTCTGAGTGTTTTTTCATTTTGGTCAATCCGAACTACTTCTTCTGCTCCCAGAGCTCCAGGATCGCTGCGTGTCTGCCCGCTCGTCTCTCTGGCCTGCCACGCTCGCCCCATTACCTGCCACCTAAAGCAGCTCTGCTTCACCGCTCTCCTGCTCCCCCCCTCCATCCTCCTGCTCGTCAGCCATCAAGCCCTCCTACCCTCGCAGCCTCCGGTCCCCCACTCAACGCTGCTCTGCCCTGACAGCCATCAGCTCCCCTCTGCATTCACCTGCCAGAAATTCCACCTCCCCCATCCACCTCCGCCCCCCCGAGACTGAACAATACACCCTCGTCTTGTTCATTTGAGTCCGTCTGTGGGTGCAGCTGCTGATTGTGACAAAAAAGAAGCGTGAAGAGGAGAAAGATGGAGAGAGAGGGAGAGACGGAGGGAGGGAGAGAGAGTACCTCAGGTCTGAGCAGAGAAGGTCGCAGAAGTTGTTGTGTCTGCTAGAAGGGAAAAGAAAAGCAGCGGATGACAAGACAGGAGGAGGAGGAGGAGAAGGTTTATGAAACAGAAAATCAATAAACTGATTCACAAATGTCTATATTTGTGTTATTTGGTGTTGAATGATCGCTGTCGGTCTGTTGGATAATCGTGTAATATTAGTTGTGATATCTTCGTGTCCAATAAAGATCAATACTTCTGCCACAAAGGTTTTGTTTTCATTGTTGTCTGTTTTCAGTAGGTTTATGCAATATGGTGAGGAAGTGGCCAATCAGCCATGCGCTGTCTAACTGCTCTTTGTTATCAGCATCTCTAAAAGTCCATTTTTATTGTTAACATTTCTTTATAAACATCTTTGTTTCTTGGCATTTTAATACGTCCATCAATGCACCACAGAGGTCATTACATTTCTTCAGACCTCGGAGGCAGGGAGTCAATTATGTAGAATAAATAAATTGTGAACAAAAGGCACTGATTGCATGCTGCCCCATCCTGAAGGCATCAAGCAGAAGAGAACAAAAAGACAAACAGAAAACAAAGGAGGGAGCAACTGATGATCAGACAACGAGAAGGAAATGTCAAAAAGTCGAGCAGAGAGAGACACGTACCTCCTGTTGTCCATATCCACGCCTGAAAGAATGAGACAGGAACAACATAAACAACACCACCGAGAAAACTTTGTCGTAAACATTTCAAACTTTAGTTTCCTCACTGCTGGAGAAATAAGATGTCGCCTTTTAATCAAAATCCAAGTAAAAGTGGACACTTTTCATTTTTTGTGGAATTCAACCCCGTTACCAAGAACAAAGCAAGACGATGAGTCGGCTGAGCTCCGTCTATTGCTGAGAGATATATGGTTGTGTTGATTATACACGCAACTGAAACTGACAAGTTTTTACTTCTGTGAAATTCACCCTGTCGACTCAAATCAAACTTTTATTTCTTCTTTTTTTGTGAAGTCTCCAACCAAATTAACCAGCTTCCATGAACCGGTGCATAACAAGTCCATGAACAGGGAGACGCGACCTGTTTCTACTCTTTTACTTTTGCTAAAATACTTTATCTGAAGACTCCGTAGTTTCACATTTGCCCAAGATCCTATTTTGCCACATATCAGATGATGACAGAATGAGCAAATAAGCTTGATGTTGGCTACGGTTCTGTACGAAGGAAGAAAAACAGCTGAGAAAGGCCTCGTCCATGCATCTTCACTATATTTGCAGCAGGTTCTATTTTCCCGTGAAACCAAAGTAATGAGCTGGAAAAATGAAGATGCATCGCAGAACAAATGGTGACTTTTGGAGGACGTTTTAGATTTTCCTCTGTTATTAGACTGTGCGCGCACACACACACACACACACACACGCACACAAACACACATACAGGCACACACACAGCTTAATCACAAGAGCTTTTCATTAAATCAATTCATATGTAAATATATGCTGTGGTTGTGCGTCCCAACACACAGACACACACGTGGTTGTCACAGGTTTGAATGATTGAATGACACGAGATTATCTGGTTAAATAAGGTTGATGGGTGGAATCACTGGAGGACGTGTGAGTGGATGAATAGATGATGGATGAATGGAGGGATGAGTAAATGAAGACACGGAGGAAATGTTTGGCTTGTGGGCGATTTACAGGTTAGAATGAAAATGTGTGTGTATGATCTCAGGATGATATTGTGTAGAGAGTGTGTGTGTGTTTGTGTCAGTGTGGGAAGATAAGTCTACCTCTGTGTCCCTGTTGATCTGACTGACACATAATTAGGTCCTCTCCAGACAAAAACTCACAGACAGCTATCTGATCTTTGTCTCACACACACATGCACACCTGACATGATTGACTCCCCCGCTCTTTGTGTACTCTCCACCTTGTCTCACGGAGTGCAGGAGGAACAGGAGGAGAAAAATACCCGCTCTTAAAAACACACTCTACTGCGACACTCAGTAACTCACTATCTCTCTCTCTCTCATAGAGCAACTGTAGCTCCCTCGCCCTCTCCACACTCTCTCCTCACCTCATTTATCTCTCACTTTTTCTCCAGCTCAAATCAAACCCGTCTTATTTCAGCCCCCCCTCTCTCCACCTCTCTTTTCTCTTTATTTACAAAAAATTAGATATAAAATTTGCAACAAAATGATCTTCTAAGGTTTGTTAGCTCACACAGAGCACGTTAAGAATAGAATCACCCTTTACCACAGCAAATTGTAATTCTCTTTCCTCTCTACTGCTTGAATGACGCACATCAGCTCCTGATGTCTTTGCTGTGACGAGGATCAAACCTGGGGCTTTACAATTACATGTGAGCTGCCCGCTGCTCTCGAAACCTCATCCCATGCATCTCTGTCCCTCAACTCAGCTTCACCGAGATGCAATCTGCTTTGTTGGGTGTTGAAAACATTACATATTCCTCCAGATGTCTGAGATGAAATGTCTGTTTTCCAGCTAACGCACAATAAGAGCTGAGGAAGAGAGAGCAGAGAAGGTGTCTGTGGGACAATGGAGAGTGTGTGTGTGTGTGTGTGTGTGTGTGTTCCCACACTCAGCACACCCAGGCTGAAGGATAATCTTAGTATAAAACATTTCTGAGCCACTCAGCTGAAACAGCAGCTCAACCTGCAACAACCGGAACAATGTCGCTGTGTCTTCCTGAACGTGTTCTCACTCCGGAGAGTCTGTTTACATTGTGAGTGAATGGATTGAGTGTTTTGTAAAAATCAGTTTAAGATGTTTACAGCTTGATCGTGGTTTAACGTATGTTAGAAGAAGAGGCTGCTTAAAAAACTGCAAAGGCTGTTTATCTTGTATCTGCAGCTCATTCTCTCCTCTGACGCAACAGACTCCAAACATGCATCAAGGTGTGTGTGTGTGTGTGTTATAATGTCATCACTTGGTCACCAGAGATATTTACTATCAGGGCTGGTTTTATTGGTTGTGTATCATGATTTGATCTAATTGTACCGACGTGATCATCAGCAACACAGTCTTGCGGGACAGACGAGATTCTGTCACTTCATAATGAAAACATACGTCTAGAATCCTTTTCTCCAGATCGTGTTGACTGACGGCAGCGGAATCTACTCGTGTGTGATTCTTACATCTTCTAAGTCAGAGCTTCACAGGCAGGTTCACATACTTCAAGCAGTTTCAGACATTCTGTGTAACTCACCCAATACAATGTATGACCTTATGTGTGACTTTATTCCAACAATGTCGCTCTGATGATCATGAAATTGAAATCAAATATTTTATAAGGGAAAGAGTCAAAGCTCAATGCCAACTATTTATTTATTCTTTTTACAAAAAAACCTTCTGAACTTCTTCTATTAAAACTTGGGGGAAGTGGTAGAATACAGGCCAGAGAAGTGTCCATGAGCTTTTGGAGCAGATTTGATTGAGGTGGCCGATCCAGGAGTAGTTTTTTGGTTCTAAAGGAATAATGCAGAGGTCTCAGCTGATATCCGTCAGTGTGAGTAATTCGGTGGAGCTTGATTTAAATGAAGGTGGACTATGAAGCTCAAGGACTTGAAATGAAACTGCCGACATGGAAACAAAGAGCTCACTTGACCTGGAGATAATAAACCTTTAAACAAGACGGTGTAACTGCAGCATATTTGATGTTAGGAAGACATTTGGCTTAGAGTGAAGCATCCAATATAAATATATGAGCAAATCAATTCCTTTTGACCTGATGTGGTTGTGTGACCTTCATAAAAGATATATATAGTGTATATATATATATATACTATATATATATATATATATATGAGGTGAGTGAAGCATTGGATTTCCTCATTAATATGCTACAGCTGTAGGAGACCGTGTACACTGCTTCCTCTGAATATTTTCCTGGCACCGTTACATTAAGAGCGAGCCACACGAGGTTATTGTCAGTCAGGGGATGAGCCACTTTGCTGCTTCTGCTTAATCTGAGGTTATGTTTTAAGACAGTTGGGTTTTCTACAATACCAGTGCTGATGTGAACATGACAGAGGATATGGGACTAGGTCAGTTTAGCAGTAATGAGGATGGGTTACGTATGAGTAGATTTACTCATCCAGAACAGAGGCAGAAAACAATAAATCCTTTGCACTTGGTTATCACCACATATTTTACATTTTTTAATATTAATCATTTTCCAGTAAGTTCCTGCACAATGACAAAAGAGCCTTTTAGAAAAGGTTCATAAAAATTTAGCAAATCTCGTGAATAAAAATATCACTCTACTTAAATGCCCCACACATATTTCCACTATGACTTTGAATCCACCTACAGCATCGACATTACTGTGTCATCTTAAAAAAAAAAACATCCACATGACATCAACAGACAATGCAGGACCACTATGAATGCAAAGTTAATGTGAGTCCGAGGGGAAAAGAAAGGTTTGACGAGACACTATTGAAAAAGAGAGAAGATGGAAGACAGACTGAGAACATCAGAAAAACAATCCTTGTGAAAACCTTTCAGGGCTCGGAGGCATTTTGGAGAACTAGAGACAAATGAGTATTTATAAAATATGATTTAAAACTAACAACTAAATTGCATTTTCAGCTTGGAGCAAGTTATTTTCCAACATTGAAAGACACTTATGTCTTAAAGTATTGATCTTAAAAGAGATGTGGCGCTTTTTTGAGTTTCCTTTTCCTCTAGTGTGTTGAAAAGTGGAGCTGCAGAAATGGACAGTTTGAGGAAAGTGATGTGTTTTCTGAACATCTGAGCGTGTAAATCAGTCAACAGTATGAACCTGAATATATTCGATCATAAAATGTCTCCTTTAATAGATAAGTTCTGTGCTTTGCTTCAACCAAAGAATTTGTTTCTATTAATTATGGAATATATGGAATATGTCATTGGAAAGAAAAGAGAGTCTGATCTTAAGATGAATCAATTGTCACAGCTCAAAAAAAAACTACATGACAGTGAACATTAATGAAGTGAGGTGGAAAGTAAAAAACAAACATAACACAGACGATGATGCTGTTTGTCGTCCTGTAGCAGCAGAAACACTGAAGCTAAACTTATCCACGCAAAGAACACAGGAACCCCCGTTAAACGCAATTCAATCCGAGTTGGCAGGTTCAACAATGTTCTTCTCTCCTCTTGATTGATTTTCCTTTTCACACCCAGCACATCTTCAGTCAAGCAGTTTAGACGCCCACTAGGTGTGTGTGTGTGTGTGTGTGTGTGTGTGTGTGTGTGTGTGTGTGTGTGTGTGTGTTCAAGCCTTCGCAAACATGTAATCAGCCAATAAGTGTGGGTCATGTTCCTTTAAGAAAGACACTGATTGATCATAATGTAACAACAATTAGTTGGCGAGGATGTGAAATGTTAGCAGCAGTCGTCCAACTGAAAGTTAACCAGGAAACATTTCACCTCTTCTAATCATTTAATTAAACGGCTCCCATCTACAGCTGTTTACGTCAATTTTCCTTTGCAGTAATTAAAGAACAAGCCCATGAATGTTGTTTTGGGGGGAAAGTGAAATAATTGCAAAGGCAGATAATGATTACGCCTCAAACTATTACTTGGATGTTACAGCTGGAGCCAAACGTTTGGATTCCTTTCGCTGAAAGCTGGACAAATTAGGAAATGGAGTTAACCTGGACCCTTTAACCTGGA